TTTATCTTGATTTTAAAAGAAGTTTCCTGCAAGTCACAACTGTAAAAATCGACACGCTCATTCAAAAGTAGCTCAGTAATCAGCAGTGTGAGTAATACCTTTGTTTCTGCCCCCCTGGTGAAAGTCTCGGTGTTATACTGCCGAGGTGGGACACAGAGGAGACTTTAGTTTAATTGTCATTTGTATTTTTAAAACCACTTCGGAAAACCTGCAAAAACGTGCGCCGTAAAACATAATTAAAAACAGTCACAGAGTCAAACAATGGGCATAATTACTGAAACAACGCTGACACTGTGAAACCGAACGAGAAAACGAGCAGACGGGCAAAAGGGGGGAGGTTGGGTGGGGAGGTTTGTGGGGGTCACATAGGTGCGTTTTGGGGGCACTAAACTTCTCTATGGTCCAGTGTGGGGCAGTGAATAGAGCCCTGTTCGGTCCCACACAGGAGCCAATCAGAGCTCATTATTTCACCTCCTGTGTGCGCCGCATACGGAGCGGAGTGTGAGGCGGCGAAACTGCACCTCTTTGTCCTTTTAGCTGCGTGTTTACGGACAACATGACTTCACCCGCTCGCACAGAGAGGGAGGACAGGAGAGGGGAGAGGGGGCAGAATGGGACCGGTGTTGCGACTAAATCCAGGTTTTGTGTCAAACTCCGAGTCAGCACAAAGCGCGCGTGTGTGTGTGTGTGTGTGTGTGTGTGTGAGGGTCACGTCCGTCTGCAGCTCTCAGTGTAAACACAATTAAACATCAGTCATTAAGGCTCGTTTAGGTCGTGCACCAAGTTACATTTCAGAACTTTTAAGCCCGTACGAGTCTCCCGCGGCCGCAGATCCTCGGTCAGGTCCCTGTGGCTGTTCCAAAGTCCAGACTCCAAACAAAGGTGATGGAGCTTTTTCAGTTCAGGGCCTCGGCTTTGGAACGACCTGAGGCCTGAGGAAATAAGACTCACAACATCAGGATCATCTTTTAAATCACTTCTTAAAACACAATTTTATCAGTTGACCTTCCTTTAACTGGTTTTAGCTTGATTCCGTATTTATTTATTTTTATTCCATTCCTATTTATTATATTTTTTATTGTTTGCATCATTGTCTGTTTTTGTGCTTTCTGTTTGCTATTTTTATGTTTTTTGTATTGTTCTTTGTAAACCTTGTTTTTAAAAGTGCTTTATGAATAAAGATTATGTATCTATATTTGATTCACTTGTATTAACTAGTCCAGAAGAGTTGAAGGAGGCGTCTGGGGAGAGCTTCTTCTGGACTGGTTCAAACAAGTTTATCAAAGAAAATCACAAACAAAAAAACATTAGACCAGACATGTCAAACTCAGGCCAGGGGGCCAAATTTGGCTGCGATAGAATTATTTTTGGCCCGCGAGATCATATCAAATCTGTATTAGAGCTGCTCGCCGGCTACAGATCGACTATAGAGATATTATTTATTTAAAATGTTATTATTTTATATTTTGCCTGTTCTGGATTCAGTGTTTAGGCAAAACTATTATTAAACGTTTATTTTAATAAGAAAAGATTTAACATTACATATCTTGAAAGAAGAGAAAACATGCAGATGTTGTTGAAATTTTTCAATAAATATTTAGTTTGGCCGACGATTTTATCCCAGTTTGGCCTCTGTGACTTTGAGTTTGACACCACTTCATTAGACCCTCCTTCACCAGGACTCTTCCCCAGGATCATCTCCTGGTTGGACCTCGTCTTGATGGAGAGTCTGGGGCTCAGTATCTGGTCTTCTCAGTGTGAAGGAGCAGCGGCTCTAAGTGAAGCTTTTCACTTTAACCCTGATTAGAGTTGGGAAAAATAATTTCTTAAAATATTACATAAATTAACTTCTTAGGTTCTTTTTCGGAAGCCTTGAAAACTGACCACGATCTGGAGGAGGGTGTCCCAGGTGTGTGAAAGGAGAACGCTCCGTCATCACGGTTAATGCTGTCCATGCCTCGCTTTCTGATTTCAATGGCCTTCCTTGATCCAGCGTTTGAACTTGTTGTTTTCCGATCAATGACCGAGCCCCGTCCCAATCCAATGTGGTTGTTCCTTTTACAGTGGTCTGATATGGCGGATTTTAGGTTTTCCTGTTCTGCTTTGTCTTTTGTGTTCTGGTGAGTCTCCCTGACGTTTCCTTCTCGCATTCCTTTTGGTGTTCCTTTTTTCGGATGTGAATGCTCGGCTGTTCCCCTATGTATGATTTTATTGCATGAATTTTGCATTGGATTTCGTAGATGGCATTGCATTTTTGTTCTTGTGGGATTTTGTCTTGGATGTCGAGTAGTTGGCGGAGTTTTTGTGTGTTTTACTACATCTTATTTGTGTTTTTTCATGGCTCTGGATGGGTTCGGTTTGATGTTCGGTAGTGTGACTATTTTTTGGTCCTGCTGCCCTGTGTTGCATTGTTGTGTTTTTTTCCGGGGTTTTTGGTTTTATTTGTAACTTGTTGTCTGCCTTTGTTTATGGCCAGCTGGGGTACTGACATTGTTTGAGTGTTTGTATATGGTGTCTCTCCTCTTCCTCCCTGTCGTCTGTGATGAGTGTGGCCCGTTCGAATAGTGTTCTATTACTGAAAGTTTGGTGCAGTGGGGTGTTCGGATGTCCAGAGCAGATATTGGTCAGTGTGTGTAGGTTTCCGGTATACAGTAATTTTGATGCTGCCGTCTGCAATGTGGTGGATTTTAATGTCCAGAAAAGATATGGCTCCATCTTTCTCCTCCTCGTGTGTGAATTGAATAATTACCTGTGTGGTCTTGTGTGTTGAATGGTCCGTGAGTTCTTGTGTGTGTCCTTGTTGTATTTTTCCAGGATGTCATCTACGTAGCGTTCCAAAAAGGTTTAAAACGGCTTGTGGTGGTGCGGTGTTGAAAGCTTTTGTTCCAGGTCCTCCATGAAAAAACTTGCTCATTATTGCTGATAGTGGATCTCCCATTGCGAACCCCTCTTTCTGTCTGTAAATTATTTGTTTGTACTGAAAAATAGTAGATTTGCCACGAAACGTAATAATTGTGTAATGTCATCAACTGTTAGATTTGTGCGTTTTTTGATTTCTGTCCTTTTTAAGTTTTTTTTTTGTACTATGCGTAGTGTGACATCCACGGGTGTTTTGTGAGAGTGAGACGTCGTGATATGAGTATTTCATCCGGTGCTATTGTAATGTTTTTTAGTTTCCTGTCCAATTGTTTTGCATTCTTGCAGTTGAATTTTGTTTTGACCGAAGTGGTTTTATTATTTCGACCAGGGCTTTGGATAAATTGTATGTTACCGAACCTATGCTATCGACTATCGGGCGGAAGCGGCGTGTCTGTTTTGTGAATTTTCGGGTACCGTAAATGCCGGGGTGATGCTGGCTGTAGGGATTAAATCGTTGTATGCTTCACGGGTGATTTTTTTCTGTTCTATAGGGGTTTGAGTAATGTTTTGAGGGTTCGTTTCTTTTCTTCTGTCGGATTCTTTTGATGATTTCGTAGGTGTCGTGTCTGCGATAGTGCTTCCATTTTATGTTCGTATGTTTTCTTGTCCAATATGCTGTTGTCCTGCCTTTATTCTGCGGGTAAAATAATGATTGTGTTGTCTTTTTTCATGTGATTAATGGCTTTCCTTTCCTTCTTGGTTATATTGCTTTTCGGTAATTTGGCTGTTTTTGAATCCTGTCTGTGTTTGCGTAAATCTGCTTTTTGTCCCTGATTGGTATTTTTTGGCATGCTAGTTCCGTGGCTAATATGTATTCTTCTATGGGTATTTGTATGGGGTGGTGGCAAAATTAAGTCCTCGTGTAAGTACATTTGTTTCTGTTTCTGTGATTTTTCGCTGAGTTAAATTGCATACCCATTTATCTTATTTTTTGTTAGGGAGGTTTCGATTTGCTGTGTTTTTTCTCTATTAGTAATTTTAACTTCCTAACATGGCGTTCCTTAGTAGTTTTAAATTCTAATTCATATGTATTTTCTAAATGTTTGCTAACCTGTCGTTGTGCCTCTTCTTCCATGGGGAAAAGCCGTCCGTATTTCTCGCTTTCGTCCATTAGTTCTCGTTCAATGTTTTCTGTTTATTGTTTTTGATAGTGGTGCGAATCCTTTCATTTAATAGCGCTTTTTTGGCCCTTATTAACTATTTGTTTTGCATTATGGGTTGGGATCGGGGTCTTGATGTTATACTAGCTGGCGTGATGTTCTCGTCTCTGCATCGGAGATTGAAGCGTAGGTGGTTGTTGTAGCGGGCGCGCGCCTTTTTCCAGCCTCTCCCAAATGGCGAAGTGCTTATTGACCACCTTTTTGTCCAAATCTTCTTCTTATTAAGCCAATGATGTTCATTATGTCTTCTTATATATTTAACTTCTTTAGGTTCTTTTTAAAGACAATGCAGTAAAGTGTATTTACCTTGTTGACATGTTTCGGCTGCTAGCTGCAAGTCATCTTCAGAACTGTCACCGGTGTTGGTGGTGACGTGTCATATATCAGTGTTGTTACTTCCTGTAGGCGTGGTCAGCCTGAGGACCTGGGGTCGCTCAGACTGACCACGCCTCCCGCGTAGCTTGCAGCTAGCAGCCGAAACATGTCAACAAGGTAAATACACTTTACTGCATTGTCTTTAAAAAGAACCTAAGAAGTTAAAGTATATAAGAAGACATAATGAACATCATTGGCTTATTACATAAATTACAAATGATACAACATCAAGTCGACTGGAAAGTACTGATGAATTGGTTGAGTTTTTTTTTTTTTTTTTATTAAATCTTCTGTATTCATGGTAACTGCCTCCTCTGGACAGATGTTGTAGCTTTTGTTGTGAGTGCGGAGTGACTGGTGTCCTGTGTTGTTGTGTTTTTGTCCAACAAGACAATTAAGGTTAAAATAACCTCATCTAACTGTGAATTTAAAATACACACAGATTTTACAACTGTTACTGGCCTGGTTCAGTATCCTCCCCACGTCCCTGAAGTATTTGACACTACATGACTACATTACCCATAATCCTCTGTGTTTCCAGGTGAGCTGTGTGGCCCCGCCCTCCTCTCCGTCTCGGGCTCCTCAGGACTCAGCGGAGAGCAGGGAGGACGTGTACCTTCAGATGGAGCTGCAGTCTCTGGAACAGGCACTGGGGGGCGCTACAGTCAACAGTCTCCCTGAGCTCTGTGAGTGACACCAGAGTTTTTCAGAAGACGTCACGTTGTAAAGCAGGAGCCTGTGTAACTTTATGGAAGATTTATCGTTTTTGAAGCACTCTCCAAACTTAAGATCCACAAATCAAATCATTATGTGTTTGGCATCGGCTCCACAAACTTGTCATTCCACACCAAATCTCTGAATGTCCCAGCTCGACCATCTCAGATTTGACTGAAAAAGTTCTAGGAGGTTCACACTTTCCAACAGGAAAAGTCCCAAATTTTCCTTATAGTTTTGTCATTAAAAATACTTTGTCAACTCTCCCCTGACCTGTTTTGAGCAGAGTTTTCTGAGGAGCCACTTTCAGATTGCTGTATCTAAAAAACTATTTAAGGTCAATCCTTCAAATTTTCAAGGGTTAAAATTTGTCAAATGTTCTTGTAGAATCTGGACTTTTACACATGTGCTTTTGGTTTATCACAGATTTCTGGGGGCTTGAATTTGGGGCGTCTGGTGTTAGGTTTGGCCTTCACAGTCCATGAATGATCTGCATTATTACAAACATCACATTTTCAAAAAATAATTTTGCAAAACAAAGGCAGACCATCAACACAAATTTTGGATATTTTAAAAACAGAAATCTAGTCTTTCAAAAACAGTTCATTTTATGTTGGTGGGTGCTGTCATTTTTTTGGTATAACATGGTAAAAGATGGCACCAAATTTATTTTTTTTCCATTTTTAACACTTAATATCTTCTACAGCAGGGGTGTCCAAACTTTTTTCATCAAGGGCCACATATCTAAACACAGACGAAGCAGAGGCCGATCGAGGGCTGTAGACTGGAGCTCAGTACAGTGAATAATTGAATGTTTAACACGTTAGAATGAACCATCAGTCTTTATTCATGCTAAGATCCTTAAAACCACACACTAAATATTAAATATTGGCTTTATCCAGGTAGATTCTCAAAAAATTTGCAGTAAAAAAATATTTTTTAATTGATGCAAAGTAATTGGGCCAATTGACCTGGAAATCTGAGGGCCAATAAAAATTTGTCTGAGGGCCGCATTTGGCCCCCGGGCCATAGTTTGGACATGCCTGTTCTACAGCTTTCATCACAGAGGCTCAGTTTGAAGTTGTCTTTGAAATTGCACTTTCCACAGTCCTTCAAAGATGCCCTCAAATTTAAAGAGTAGAAGTTTCGAGCAAATTCAAGCCCCCACAAATCTGTGATAAACCAAAAGCACACGTGTAAAAGTCTACAAGTAGTTCTACAAGTACATTTGCCAAGTTTTAACCCTTGAAAATTTGAAGGATCGACCTTAAATAGTTTTTTAGATACAGCAATCTGAAAGTGGCTCCTCTGAAAACTCTGCTCAAAACAGGTCAGAGAGGAGTTGACAAAATATTTTTAATGACAAAACTATGAGGAGTTGGGAACTTTTCCTATTGGAAAGTGTGTAAACCTAGAACTTTTTCAGTCAAATCTGAGATGGTGGAGCGGGGGCATTGAGAGATTTGGACGTGGAATGACCCGTCTTAAAATCCTTTCAGCTGAATAATGGCACCACTGAAGCTCTTGTTCAAAATAATTTCTCTTTAGTTTATTTCTCCTGACAGGGAAGACGCTGAACTTTGTGTCAGTTTTTGTTTCATGGAAATAGGCCCAGAAATTACAGCGACATGAACCACAAACCAGCTCAACAAATCTGCAATTCCCACTCACTTCTCCTCACTTTTCTTCTCGTTCTTCTGTCTCGTTTTAGGTGACCTGGTGTCTCGGGCCATGCACTTCCTGTCCCGCCCGCAGCCCGCCCCCTCTGCTCCGTCGGCCAATCACACGCCAGTATCCTGGACCCCGGACGCGCTGCACACTCTGTTTTATTTTGTCTCCTCTTCTCAGACTAGAAAACACGGAAAATCTGCAGTCTCCAAACATGACGCTGACCAAAGAGAAGTGAGTGTTTCTAAAGATACACTGTGTAACTTTTCTGGAGGAGCAGACACTACACTTTTCTGGGTTGAATTTAACTTCTCTGCTGGGTTTTGCCAAATAAATGGGTTAAATCTTTATAATGACCTCTACAGATTTAGTTAAAGAGCCATTAAACTCCCTCCTGAAGCTTTACTCCGCCCATAAGCAAAATCTGAGAAATCCTCCAGAGTGGGCGGAGCTTGGTGGGTGTGGGGCGGGCTCTAGAGCGATGATTGACAGCCGACCTGACAGCCACAACAACACGGCGCAGAACGGTGCGCTCCAGACTTTGAAACAGAGCGGATGTTTGTGTTGGGATCACGGCGTTTCCCTTTTCTCCAGACACGGCGGGACATGGCGGTGCCCGGCGGTGTCAGGTCGGGGCTGAGAGGGGCTGCTCACCTCCCGCCATGAGCTCTTCACGTAATAAACTGCGTCTGACTCATCTGCGCTGTTAGTCCAACTCGGAAACTCAAGTGTTCTGGCTGTATTTTTTCCTAAAGAGGCCAATAGAGACACAGGTTTTTAACAAATCTGCACTAAAATGCCAAAACAAGGCCTATTTTAGACCCATTTGCACAGAGAATCAATAGAAAGAAGGTGAATTGGGTGTTTAGTGGCCCTAAAACTGTATTTAAAACATGTTACCCCGTAAACCAGGGGTGTCAAACTCATTTTGGTCCGGGGGTCGTATCCAATCGACTTTGATCCCAAAGGGGCCGGATCAGAAAACTCATGTCATATAAACCCCAAAAATAACAATAAGTTCAAATATTTGTGCAGAGAAACACAAATCTATTACAGAAATCTTTTTTAATTGATGAACTCTTTCTTTTACAAAATATTATAATATTATGAACAACCTGAAACTTTAAGAAAAATACAATTTCAACACAAAGTTTTAACATGAACTTGTTTGTAAACAGGAATAAGTCAATTTTTCTTGTAAAATCCTGCACTCGGCTCCACTTTTCTCATGTTGGACATTTTGTTGATGAGGGTGTCACGGTCAACAGTCAAAACGATCGTCCTTTAAGAGCGTTTGGAAAGAGACAAGTCTTCATTTGTGCTGCTCTGGTGGGAGGGGCCACGTACAGAGACGCTGCTGTGATAAACACCACAGAAAATTAACAAGATTTTAATAAAAAAATAGAATTAAAATATTTTAGTAGAAAATCAGCCGAGGGCCAGATTAAAGGTCTTGGAGGGCCGGATCTGGCCCCCGGGCCGCATGTTTGACACCTGTGCCGTAAACAGTAGTTTGTAGTTTTGTAGTTTAGTATGTGTTTGCTTTTTGACTCTTACATGAGTTGTTTACAAGGTAATTGAATGTCTCCTCCAGCTCTCCTCCCTCCTCTCTCCTCCTGGCTCTGTCTCTCTCTGTCTTCTTCTATGTTCTTATTAGGGACGTCCCAATCACATTTTTTAGCCCCCAAGTCCGAGTCCTTTGATATTGAGTATCTGCCGATACCGAGTCCCGATCCGATACTTCTATAAAACATTATGAAATGAACTAAGAGCAAAAAATAAGATCCAGGATGTTTGGAGGATCAGATTGTGTTGATTTCACATATTTGGGCTGAACTTAGTGTGAAAAATCAAATGTCCCAAACTTTTATTTTATCAACTTTTCTAACCATGAAGCATCAGTGTTGAAAATCTTTACTTTTACCACAGTATAGTCTTGGAATGTGTAACTTAGTAAACTAAAACAGGAACCAGACCAGGACCAGATCAGACCCGAGACTCGACTCTGCACAATCTACACTTTGTATATTTGATATTATATGTTTGCATGTGCTTTATATTTAAAACATTTAGGCTCGTCTATGAAATCCAAATAATACAAAATCTTACCAAATAAAAACGAGATGACAGAAGCTCCACAGCCTCTGTCCCAGCGGAGTGTGCACCACGACATCGGTCCCGCCGCTCAATAGACACTCTGAGTGGACGTCCCTGAGCAAATCCCGCGCCTCAGTTAAAAAAAAAAACCCCAAAAAACTGTTATGTTCTGTGTGTCCTGTGTGTTATATACGTATATTATTTATCTGATGCCTGATCGGAACATAACGGCCGAGTCCGGATTGAGTCCACAGTCACGAGATCGGCGCTGATTTCTGGACAACCCTAGTACTTATATATGGTTTTATCTTTTCCAGGCCCTCCCCTCGCCTCTCCTCCTGGCTCCATCTCTCTCTGTGTCTTCTCTGAGTAAATATATGATTGTGTCTCTTCCAGGTCTCCTCCTCTCTCCTCCTGGCTGCAGATCTCTCTCTCTCTCTGTGTCTTCTCTGAGCATAAACTTCTAGCTCTGTCTCTCTCTGGTCTTCATTCTCTCTTATACCTGTTTTTGTCTCTTCCTCTCCTCCCTCCTCTCTCCTCCTGGCTCTGTCTCTTTGTCTCTTTCTTCTCTCTCTGTGTCAGATCTCTGAGTACAAACTTCTGGCTCTGTCTCTCCCTGTGTCTTCATTCTCTCTCATATCTTTGGTTTTGTCTCTTCCAGGTGTCCTCCTCTCCTCCCTCTTCTCTCCTCTCTTTGTGGCTGCACATCTCTCCGGTCTTCTCTCCCTCTTATATATGATTTAGTCTCTTCCAGGTCTCCTCCTCCCCTCTCTCCCCTCTCCTCCTGGCTCCATCTCTGTGTCTCTCTTTCTTCTCTCTCTTTCTCCGTCACTTATCTTTGGTTTTATCTCCTCCATGTTGTCCTTCTTCTTGTTTACATGTGGTTTTGCCTCATCCAGATCTCTTTCTCTCTCTTTCTCTCTCTCTGTCTTCTCTGAGTATATTCCAAATCACATCCCTCCTCTCTCCTCTCCTCCTGGCTCCGTCTCTCTGTCTCTCTTTCTCTCTCTCTGTGTCTAAACTTCTGGCTCTGCTTCTCTCTAGTCTTCTCTCTCTCTTACGTATGTTTTTGTCTGTTCCAGGTGTCCTCCTCTCCTCCCTCCTCTCTCCTCGTGGCTGCACATCGCTCTGGTCTTCTCGGATCACAGGCGTAGTTCTGTGGTGGACTCTGATGACGTGAGACAGAGCTCCAGGGTCCTGCTGCACCAGGACTGTGAGCCCAGACTCCTCAGGTAAACCTCAGTTAAACCTAAGAATTTAAGCTGCTGATTATACTGGAAAGTGTCTGGATTCCTGTTACTGACTAAGCTTCATGATGTTGTCTCCTGGGCTCTGGTTTTGGCCAAATTTCAGAGCTGCAGTAAAACGGAGCCTCACAGTCGGTAATTTTACCTCTTGGGTAGAAGCGAAACTCACTCACTCCAAAAGTTTAGAACAGAATAGAATGATCTTTGGTAATGACTTTAATAGGTGTTAGAATAAGTGTCCCTGAATGTAATTTGAAAATATTTTTGCGTTGGTAGTTTTGAATTTAGGGGTATTAGATCAACAAATACATCTCAGTTTCGTTTACTTTGTGGTGTGGTTTGAAATGACCTTTTTTCTTCTTAAATAATTGTGACATAACTTGACATTTTTACTTGTGAACAGTGTTTAACTCAGCGGGTGTTGCCTCTGTGTCTCGTGTGTGTGTGCGTTTCCAGGTGTGACTCCAGTGTGTCGTCGTCATGGCGATCCCTGGACGCCGCGTCTGCGTTGAGGCGTTTCAGGTCGGACCTGGGCTTCACGATGCTCTGCTCCGGGAGATCTGATCTGCTCAAGGACGCCTCCGGTCTGCTCGGAGAGAGAGGAGTGGACACTGTGGATGAACGGGTGAGAGACAGAGAGACGGAGAGAGAGAAAGAAGGAGACGGGGTAGAGAGAGAGAGAGAGAGTCTGTCCTGATGAAATACGAGTGAAAATCTGCGTAAATGATAAACTGTGTCCATCATATTTGTCCAGGGCCTGAGTGCTCTGATGTACGCCTCTGCTGCTGGAGACGAGGCTCTGGTCCAGGTCCTGATCCAGGCCGGAGCTCAGCTGGACCTGAAGGTGAGTCTCCTCCTCTCCTGTGCTCATACAGAGTGTACAGCACATGTAGAGGAGGCTGCTTTCAATAAAGAGTCCAGCAAACTCCTTTATACTGTAGTGTGACAATAATGTGACAGTAATATGACTGTAGTGTGACTGAGCCGTGTGCTGCAGGTCCCTGTGTGCTCCAGGACTCACCCCTCGGTCTTTCCCGGGACCAGACACTGGACGGCTCTGACTCTGGCCGTGCTCCACTCTCACGTCTCTGTGGCTCAGGTACAAAACACAAAACACAACTCATCTCCTTTATCAGTCACTAAAGATGTAACTGTACTGTGAGGGTCTAATGGTGCACTCACTCTAGGACTTTAAAACCACACCGTGCTCAAGCACAGTTGTGTAGGGTTCTATGTTCTGCACTTACACTTGCAGATTGAAACAAGGCCACGGCCTGATGACGTCATCACAGGCGTTGTTTGTTTACATGTGCTAAGACTTTTAGAGGAGAAAATATCTATTAAATAGTGTCGCTGATGTGCGTCCTTTTATGATACACACTCTTCTGTGAGTTTATGGAGATAAAAACAGTGCGGAGCAGTGATGACAGCTGGAGATGAGAGGCAGATAAACTTCTGTCTGTCCTTATTGAAGGTGAGTGTGAATTTGCCGTGTGTTTTCACTGTTTTCCTCCTGTGAGTAACATCAGCGCACACACAGGGCTCCTATAGTAAAGTAATGTGTGTGTTCATACATGAGTCTGTGTCGTGCTTTGGCCCACCTCATCCAATCGGGCCACAGTCCCATCTGTGCCGTGCCTGAGCACAGGTTGAGGCACTCACACTGGACAAACGTACGGCGCTTTAGGGGAGATCCCTGCTGGGCACAGTTCTAAAGTCCTAGTGTGAGTGCAGCCTAAATTCAGATTATTTTTCAATAAACAGTATTGTAACTTTTCAAAACTGTTTCTATTCAGCACAGATAATGTCCCACAAAACAATATTTACACAAACTTTGACTTTCTCTTTGACGTTCAGTTGTTGTTGGAGGCGGGGGCGGACGTGGAGGCTCAGGTGGGAACGGCTCAGGACGGATCTGTGGAAACGCCTCTGCAGCTCGCATCATCTGCAGGTGACAACAACAACCACAACACTCTGAGGAAGAACGAGGGAGAGACGGAGGGAGGGAGGGAGAAAGAGAGAGGGAGGGAGAAAAAGAGAAAGGGGAAAAGGGAGGGAGAAAGCCAGAGATAAGGGGGGAAAGGAGAGAAGGAGGGAGAGAGAAGGCAAGAGAGAAAGAAAGAGAGAGAGGGAGGAGAGACAAGGCAAGAGGGAGAGAGAAGGAGAGAGAAGAGAGAAGAGCAAAGAGAGAGAGAGAGGAGAGAGACAAAGAGAGAGAGAGGGCAAGAGGGAGGGAGAGAAGAAGAGGAGGAGAAGAGACAGAGAGAAGAGGGAGAGAGAGAGAAGGCAAGAGGGAGGGAGAGACAAAGAGAGAGAGAAGGCAAGAGGGAGGGATTGGGGGGAGGAGAGAAGGAGGGAGAGAGGGAGGAAGAAAGAAGGGAGAAAGGAAAGAGGGAGAGAGACAGAGAGAAGGAGGAAAGGAGAGAGGGAGAAAAGGAGTGATGGAGAGAGGGAAGTAGTAATGGAGAGAGAAGGGGGAAAGGTGAGATGGAGAGGGAGAAGGTGTGAGAGAGAGAAGGGGGAAGAAGAGATAGAGAGAGATAGAAGGAGTGAGGGAGGAAGAGAGAAGGGGGGGAGAAAAGATAGAGAGAATGGAAAGAGCGAGGGAGAAGGAGGAAGGAGGGAAGGAGGGAGAGAGAGAAACAGAAACAGATCCAGCTGGAGACGTGTGTTTTTCTGCAGGAGACTATGAGATGGTGAGTCTGCTTCTCTCTTATGGAGCTGACCCTCTGCTCCCAGTGCATCATGGGAGCTCTGCTCTGTCTCAGGACATGGACTGTTTCAGCTGCGCCGCCGCTCATGGACACAGGTCAGAGATTTACAAGATCATAGTAATTAATACAAGTGCACCAAATGTACTGGATTTATTTGAACAGTTTTTTACTGTATTTTTTGGACTATAAGTGACACCAGCCAAAAATGTGTAATGAAGAAGAAAAAGAACATAGTCCAGTCTCACCGGACTATAAGCTGCACTTTTTGGGGGAAATTTATTTTACAAAACCACGAACCGACATTTCATCTAGTTCTAGTAATAAGAATATTACTATAACTTGCTGTTAACATCACATATGAACAGCTTCCTCTTCTGTGTCGCTGTCGTCAGACTCAGCATCAGTTCCAGTTAGAATTATTCGGGTGTTTCTGAATCCCGACAGGATGGTTTCAGTGTTATTGAAGTCCAGACTTTGTCCATCCATCCAGTGACTTCAGGAAAGTTTCTCCCGGTGTCACAAGTTTCTCTCTCACTGCAAACTTTCTTTCTGCTGCTCGATTCTCGTTTTCAGCTGCAGATTTCACGACTTGCAGTTTATAATCTGCAAAATCTCATTTTCTTTTTGGGGTCATTTGTGTTCAGTTTTCTCAGTCGTCTTTATAAGTTTGTTTAAATGTTAAGTTTTCAGTGATACAGAAGTAACGGTGCGATCGACTGACATGACACAGACAGGACAGAGGCTCTTTCTGCAGGAGACATGCGCAGTAGAGCCAAGTGACAGTGGTACAGGAGGAACAGGAGCAGCAGATACTCACACACAAGACTAGAGCCTCTCCACACTTCACTGAAACATTTTAATATAGAAGTCACACCAGAGTATAAGTCACAGGAAACACACAAACCATGAAAAAAGTGCGACTTATAGTCTGAAAAATACGGTACTGTCTTTTTAATGTGACGTTGTGCACTTTTTAGTCACGTTTCCCTGTTTGATTAGATCAGATGGAGATGTTTTTGTGTATCTATCTAATGGACAATGTCACAGATCGATGTTACATATTTTTAATTAACATATTCCTTGTTTACAGTTGTTTATATGTTCTGCTTTTTAATGCATCTTTTCATACAGGACTCTATATATTGTCAGATTAATTTATGGATTTTGTGATTTTACACACAGAACTGAAATAGGAATTCTGGTTTCTATTCCTTTTGAGAGAAGCACAGTTTCCCTCTGACACTTTTCTCTCTTCTCGTTCCAGAAACGTCGTGCGCAGACTGGTCCTCGAGCCCGCCCCCCGCAGAGACGACGTCCTGTCACTGGAGGAGATCCTGGCCGAGGGCGTGGACCAGGGGCACCCGTGGGAGAAGGGCACCCAGGGGACCCTCCGCGTGTGTAAAGCCCGACTCAAGGCCCTGCAGCAGGCGTCGTACTACAGCGCCGAGCACGGACACCTGGACGTCACTCTGGACATCAGAGACATGGGTGAGGATGTGGCCACTTTATTAGGAACACTCCAGACCAGGGGCGGGCTTTTTTATTTTCCATGGGACCACAGGAGAAACAGAAAATATTATGGAGGGCGAAATGCTAAACTCAATTCTGCAAAATATGAATCGTATTTCTTTAAAAAAAAAAAAAAAAAAAAGCAGTAAATATCATTGTTTTGACGAGCTGCTCAGACTGATAAGAGTTTATGTTATGAAAAAGTGAGTCTACAAAAAATGTAATTTTAAAAAACACGTCTAAAATAAAATCCATGCAGCTTTAGTCCATGCCTGAGATAAAATTATAAAATATGTTTATTTTGTAATTGCAAAATCAGAATCAACCAAAGAGCTGAACAATACAACAGTGATCCTAGATTGTTAATGTAAATGGACAGAGTTAACCCACTAACAGATTCCAAATAGGAAGTGCGCATGTGCACACTTCTGGCTCCGTTGATTCTGGCTTTAATTCACTTTCTATTGAAAAACTGTCTCCTCTCTCTGTAACTGCTGCTGTGAACCTCGTCATTTCGGTCTTAAAATATTTGTATTAACCCGCGACACATGATCCATTGGCCATAAATAATAGATTTTAGATTAGATTAACTTCAACTTTTTTGTCATTACACATGTATAAATACAAGGTAGAGAAATGTGATTTAGCATCTAATGAGAAGTGTAAGGAGCAGCAAGTGTGATATATAAACAGAATGTGCAGTATATAGACAATATACAGTATATTACAGTGTAGACTGTAGTGAATATATACAACAGACTGTATAAAAGAAGTGGACTAAGTGAGTGTGACGTCACCCACAGAGTTCAGCACCGCTCAAATGAGGCTCGAGATGTTCACGGTTACAGGAGCCAGTCTGGAGCCAGACTCTGTGTTATAAATAGGATTTTTTTGACAGACAAAATAGCAAAATAAAAAATTCATGTAGAGCAGGTTAAGACAAACATTTTAAGACCAAAATGACGAGGCTCACAGCAGCAGGTACAGAGAGAGGAGCCACAAGATCCTAATGTAAGTCCATTGGAGCCGGAGTCAGAAGGAGCCGGAAGAGCCTCCTGGAGAACTTCCTGTTTGGCACACGGAGGCTACAGCGTTAGATCTGTCCACTCATATTTACGGGCTATGATATATACAGATAAATATGTCAGTATGAACAGGAGTTAATTTGATATAATATACATGGGGGACATATAAGCAGATGTATTGTAAACAATATATACTATGAACACATTTACAGGGTGCACTATAGAAAATATAAACATGTATGACATATATAAATGAGCAAAAGATATATATAAACAGTGTAAATGCAGAACACTGTAAATAAATAAAGTTATGTATCAGATGTAATATGAACATGATATATGTACATGCATTGGTGATATGTACATGTAGTTTAGATGGAGGGATGGGATTTGGATGGGGAAATAAATTCCTATTCCTCATATGGAATTCAGCTCCAAATTCAATGAGCTTCATTTGACTGGAGCCAAACGCTGTGGGTGACATCACACTCCCTCAGTTCTCTTCGTTATCCTCAACGGTCGTATGAATCAGTAAAGATTGACGGATCTACTGTCATAATATTAAAGTCAATAAAATATAAAGCAAATTTCAGTGGAATTGGATTTTAAACCTAAAGCAAAACTGATTTTCTACCATGTTATAATGTTCCCTCATCAAAAACATGTCTGAGGAGGTGTTAGAGTCATCCATGCATGTTTGAGTAATCTAGTGATCTCTCCTGGGCCCTATTCACACCCGCCTTACTGTGAGCTGTAAGATTCTGTGCAATGCTCGTACCTAAAATTAATCAAATAAAATAGGTCATAATTTTGTGTTTAAATGAATAATGGAAAAAACGGATAACGGCTGTTTCCCGTTTACGTGACTTAAACTGCGATGCCGGACTAACCCAGGACTAACCCAGGACTAACCAGGACTACCCAGGACTAACAGGACTAAACCAGGACTAACCAGGACTCACAGGACTAACCAGGACTAACCCAGGACTAAACCAGGACTAACCAACTACCAGGACTAACCAGGACTAAACAGGACTAAACCAGGACTAAACAGGACTAAAAACTAACCCAGGACTAACAGGACTAAAACAGGACTAAACCAGGACTAAACCAGACTAGGACTAACCAGGACTAAAACAGGACTAAACCAGGACTAACCAGGACTAAACCAGGACTAACTCCAGGACTAAACCAGGAAACCAGGACTAACAGGACTAAAACAGGACTAACCAGGACTAAACCAGGACTAAACAGGACTAACCAGGACTAACCAGGACTAATCCAGGACTACTAAACCAGGACTAAACCAGGACTAAACCAGGACTAAACCAGGACTAACCAGGACTAAACAGGACTAACCAGGACTAAACCAGGACAAACCAGGACTAAACCAGGACTAAAACCAGGACTAACCAGGACTAAACCAGGACTAAACCAGGACTAAACCAGGACTAAACCAGGACTAAACCAGGACTAACCCAGGACTAAAACAGGACTAAACCAGGACTAAACCAGGACTAACCCAGGACTAACCAGGACTAAAACCAGGACTAAACCAGGACTACTAAACCAGGACTAAACCAGGACTAACCAGGACTAAAACAGGACTAAACCAGGACTAAACAGACTAAACCCAGGACTAACCCAGGACTAAAACAGGACTAAACCAGGACTAAACCAGGACTAATCCAGGACTAATCCAGGACTAAAACAGGACTGAACCAGGACTGAGTGCCAGGACAGGCCCGGAGGTGCGCCCGCGTACACTGTCTGGTGATCAGAACTGAGACTGGGATCAGACCGGAACAAGATCAGGACTGAGACCAGGACCAGGACCACGAAGACTGACAAAGCGAATTGTTATCCATAATCTGACAAATAATGTAATAATTGTTCTCTCGTTTTCTTATTTTTGGTTTTATTTTGAAAAAAAAACAAATGAACAAATGATACATGGATTGGTCCTGAATATTGCGAGATAGGGTCATAGTCTTGTGAAGTGTTATTTAAAGTGTGTAATTCCTGTTGTGTCCTGCAGGTGTCCCGTGGAGCGCTCACAGTTGGCTGCAGTCTGTGCTCAGAGCTCAGGAGCAGGGCAGAGATCGGGTCGTACTTTCTCTGCTCCAGGACTTCAGCTCCATCCCCTCTGACAACTACAGCCCCGAGTTTAGACTGACAGGCGTCCCGGCGCTGTTCACACTCCTGCACAACACAAAGGTACAAAACTACAGCCCCGAGTTTAGACTGACAGGCTTCCCGGCGCTGTTCACACTCCTGCACAACACAAAGGTACAAAACTACAGCCCCGAGTTTAGACTGACAGGCGTCCCGGCGCTGTTCACACTCCTGCACAACACAAAGGTACAAAACTACAGCCCCGAGTTTAGACTGACAGGCTTCCCGGCGCTGTTCACACTCCTGCACAACACAAAGGTACAAACTACAGCCCCGAGTTTAGACTGACAGGCGTCCCGGCGCTGTTCACACTCCTGCACAACACAAAGGTACAAAACTACAGCCCCGAGTTTAGACTGACAGGCTTCCCGGCGCTGTTCACACTCCTGCACAACACAAAGGTACAAAACTACAGCCCCGAGTTTAGACTGACAGGCGTCCCGGCGCTGTTCACACTCCTGCACAACACAAAGGTACAAACTACAGCCCCGAGTTTAGACTGACAGGCGTCCCGGCGCTGTTCACACTCCTGCACAACACAAAGGTACAAAACTACAGCCCCGAGTTTAGACTGACAGGCGTCCCGGCGCTGTTCACACTCCTGCACAACACAAAGGTACAAAACTACAGCCCCGAGTTTAGACTGACAGGCGTCCCGGCGCTGTTCACACTCCTGCACAACACAAAGGTACAAACTAAGCCCCGAGTTTAGACTGACAGGCGTCCCGGCGCTGTTCACACTCCTGCACAACACAAAGGTACAAAACTACAGCCCCGAGTTTAGACTGACAGGCTTCCCGGCGCTGTTCACACTCCTGCACAACACAAAGGTACAAACTACAGCCCCGAGTTTAGACTGACAGGCGTCCCGGCGCTGTTCACACTCCTGCACAACACAAAGGTACAAAACTACAGCCCCGAGTTTAGACTGACAGGCGTCCCGGCGCTGTTCACACTCCTACACAACACAAAGGTACAAACTACAGCCCCGAGTTTAGACTGACAGGCGTCCCGGCGCTGTTCACACTCCTGCACAACACAAAGGTACAAAACTACAGCCCCGAGTTTAGACTGACAGGCGTCCCAGCGCTGTTCACGACACAAAACTGGACAAAGGATCAGGCTCCAGGAACGTAAAATTCTCTGTTACTTTCACAGCCCCTCCACACCTCAAGATCTTTCCCTCCTCAGACTCTCATTATGTTTGGCAAATTTCATATTCACAAAACAAAATGAGCAAATACATTAGTAAACCAATTCAGAACCACTTTCAAAATGAAATACAGCCATATTTTACAACCATTAAGACATTAACTAATAAAAAAAACCTGAGAAATTATATCATTTGGCCGTTAAAGACTCACAATATTCTGCATTAAACTGAATTACTTAAACCAAAGAATCAACACTGGTCAGTCGTCTCTTCGGAAAAGCAACATATTGTAACATTACGTTTTTTTCTGTTCTACTAATATTAATATTAACCCCTGTAGTGACTGATTAAACCTAATATAGAATTATTGTTTTATTTTGAACTCTCTGTGGTTTCCATTTGAACATTTTTAATCAAGTTTCAATGTCCTATGAAATTCTGAAATTCTCTGATCTGACCAAGATTTAAAAACTTATATCAGGTTATAGAAGCCCATTTCCGCCAGTAATTAAAAAATAAAAGCCTCACAGAAACTCATAATTATGAGTTTAAAAGTCAGAAGTTATTAAGTCAGAATCAGCTCTTCCAAATCCGAGGCCGTGGTTCTCGACCGGAAAAAGGTGTCTTGTCCTCTCCGGGTGGGTGGAGAGTCCCTGCCTCAAGTGGAGGAGTTCAAGTATCTCGGGGTCTTGTTCTCGAGTGAGGGGAGGACGGAGCGTGAGATTGACAGGTGGACAGGTGCAGCGTTGGCAGTGATGCGGTCGCTGTATCGGACCGTTGTGGTGAAGAGGGAGTTCCAAATGTCTCCTGGACGTCTCCCTCGGGAGGTGTTCCGGGCATGTCCCACCAGGAGGAGGCCCCGGGGAAGACCCACGGGAGGAACTATGTCTCTGGTCTGGCCTGGGAACGTCTCAGGGTCCCCTCAGAGGAGCTGGAGGAAGTGTCTGGGGTGAGGGAAGTCTGGGAGTCCCTGCTTAGACTGATGCCCCTGCGACCCGGCCCCGGATATGCGAAAGAACCTGGATGGATGGAAGTTATAAGCTCATGGGATGGTGGCTGAGTGGCTAGCACTCACGCCTCACAGCAAGAAGGTTCTGGGCCTGATCCCCCGGGTCGCCTGGGCCTTTCTGTGTGGAGTTTGCATGTTTCTCCCCGTGTCTGGATGAGTTTCTTCTGGGTGCTCCAGTTTCCCCCATCAACCCAAAACATGCTCCAGGTCTCCAGGAAGAACAGTTGAAAGCTAAAGGTCAATTAAACACAATCAATCAATGAACCTGCCCAGGGACGTGTGGGTTTTTTCGGAAGATTCGGTGCGTGTCCTAGAAAGAAGCGCAAAAGATGGAAGGATCCGAGAACAGGCCACTTTGTTTCAGCATTGTCCATTGAGAGGGATTCAGTGTTGATCACCAAGTACAACTGCCACCCCGGAACGACGCCTCTGCCCAACTCACAACGAGGGGGAGCTTTATACCACACATCTGACAAAACATTCACTTGTTGATTTAGCGTATACAGCAAGAAAATGAACAATAATGCTGACCCGGTGCACTTTATCATGGGTGGGTACATGCCACGGGGTCCACATACATCAGTTTTCTGCTTCGTGGCGTCTCAAAGTACAGAAAAACATGTCTTTTATAGAACTATAGATAGACATACGTGTTTTTCACCCTGTTGTCATTCCAAGGTACAAGATATTGGGTGAATCAGCATCAACACAGAATATTTCCCACAGACGACAGGTGGACATTTGCACTGGTGATATAACCTGGTACAATACACCTCCACTCTACTTACGAAGTGTTTATATCTTAAATTTTGGCCCAGCTTTCTTGCAGTCATAAGAGTCATTATTTATTGTGCCTCACAGACCGAGCAGAGTTTAACTAGTTCCTACAGTGTTGTTCATTTCTCAGTGTGTTTTCTCTCTGTGTGTTCAGGATTACATGATCCTTCAGTGTTTGGCCTGGGTCCTGTCCCTGTCGTATGGACCGTCCCCCGTCCCTCCCGTCCCTCCTCTGGACGCGTCTCTGTCCACTCACCTCGGTAACTGGGTCCGTCTTTAAAGTCTTCTCTGTTAAACGTCACAGTTACATAACCTCACGTGTGCTCTGACGCAGACGTGCACTTCCTGAACAACCGGGAAATGTCCGACGTCACGTTTATGATCGAGGGACGGCAGTTTTTCGCTCACAGAGTTCTGCTCATCTCCGCCTCCGACAGGTGAGGAGTCAAATACGTGCTATGGAAAAAGACTGGATCTTGACTCCAAATTATTCACTCTAACTGTGAGCCTCGATGAGCTTCATTTGACTGGAGCTGAACACTTCTTTACACCGTCTACGGAGGCTTTACATAAATAACTTGGATATTTTTGTGTCGTTTTTCGTTCAGGTTTGCGCAGCTCCTGAGCGAGTCTCCTGACGCCATCATCCACATCGATCACATGACCTACAGCACTTTCCAGGTGAGACTCTGTAAACCAAACTGTGAAGAGACCGGTCTGTGTCCGTCACTGTCGTCTGCCTCAGAGGGAGAGACGTGTGTTTGAGTGACAGCTGCTCGTGTTGTTGTTGTGTTTCAGTTGATGATGAAGACTCTGTACTGTGGAGGAACATCTGGAGTCACTCTGACTCATGATGAAGCTCTCAAGGTACAAACAGCTCAGTGTGAATCCAACAATCAGAACAGAGTTCTGCACATTTATCTGAGTCGTCTCTCGCTGAAACAGATCAGAACCCGTGATCAAAGCGTTCAAACAAATACAAATACAAATGTTAACAGAGAAATAAGATGAAAACGTTTATCCAGTTGAGAGAAAACAGTTTTACCTGTTTACAAACACAAAATAGTACATTTGCGTGACCATATTTCCATTTGTGAAAACCCAGACACCTGATGGGGGGTGGGGCCTCGACATTGATCCACTCTCACCTCGCAACCTGTGCACATGGCCTCACTTGTCTCGACTGGAACTGAAAGCTGGGAATTTCTTGTCCAAGTCATTGTTAAATGCACATTTGTGCTTCAACATGTTGCAGACTGACCGACTGTTTGTGTCTCGCTCCTTCAGAGTCACAGACGCTACGAGAGACGCTCAGTTTAATGCCCCAATGAAAGATCATGAAAACCTGAACATTTCCATCACTTTATGAAAAAAAAACCTGGACACCCAGGACAGGGCGCAAATAATGGACATGTCCGGGGAAAAACAGACGTTTGGTCATCCTATAGTACATATTTCTACAGAAACAGGCCTGTTGGAGTCGTCATGTTTGTTTTGGTTCATTCAGCGCTGCACTGTGATTGGTCAGTTTCCTCTCACGTGTAAATGATTCATCTGGAACCGTCCGTGACAGACTCAAGAGTTTGTGAACTCACAAAAATCACAAAGATTTGTCCTGCTGAAAAAGCTACACATTTACAGATGAAAGTACAAATTGCATTTGTTAATTTTTGTAAATTTTATATGAGAAAGACTTACTCTTGTGTGTAGAATCTGTCAGGAAGGAGAAATTAAATTTGTCAATTGGACAAACATTTATTTGGTGTGAAAACACTTCACATTATGACCCTGAATGATTCTGTTAATATTTCCCCACACTCAGTACAGAGGAACAGACCGAGCAAACAAACAGAAACTGTAAACAAGTAGGTGTGTTAGTTCCAGAGTAGTTTCAGTGTAGTTAGCTCCTCCTGCAGACAGATGTAAGGACGTGTCCTCCAGCGTCTGACCAGAACTGAAGAAGCAGCTTGGATGAGCTCCAAAGCAAAATGTCTTCAACCTAAATAAACGTTTGTCCAGTCAACAAATTGAATTTGTCCTTCACTGTTCTTCCTCTTATTACTCAGATTAAAGTCGAACCTGAGTAACTTCAGACAGAACAGTGCGTCCAGTTAGCTTCAACTCTCCAGGGAAAGTTGATGACATCAGCTGTAGGTTTGTTGCATAGATAGACTCTGGTGGTGGAGAAGAGGAGGAGCTGGAGAGGTTGAGGAGGCTGTGGTTCTGCTGCTGCGGTGCACACATTCAACATGTACATGTGTATTTATATATTTATATTTGTTGTTGTTGTTGTTGTTGTTGCAGTTGTTGGCGGTGAGCGTGTTCTTCAGGCTGCGCTCGCTGCAGAGACTCTGTGAACTCACTCTGTCCCAGACTCTCACTGTGGACAACGCTGTGGCCCTCTACAGGAGCGCCAAGGTAACTACAACTCAAAACACCCACGTACACTCTGGTTTTACAAATGATTTGTTTACTCAAACTTATCTTCTCCTGTTCTGATCATATCTCATCATGTTACATTTCCTAAGCTGCACATTTTGACATTATTGATAGAAGTTAAGAAGTAGACTGAAATACAACAAATGAGCTTCAAATACATAAAGAAAAAATAAAATAAAAAAATAAAACATTGACTCCACTGTTCCTGAAATAAAAGAATGTCTGTAAATGGGAGATTTTTACTAGATTTGACCGATAAGAAGCTGATTTGATGTTACTTGTCGTCACTGTTTGACAACTGACTTCAAAACTATAATGTGTTATTTATTTATTTATTTATTTATGAGGTGTTTCTGTCAGTTCAAAGTGATTTGTTACATTATAATATGACTGTGTTTAAAATATAAAACATGACACGACTATTACAGAACTTTAACTCTCAACAAAATAACTGCAAAGATGCTGAACGCCGTATATGGACTAAACCAGGACTAAACCAGGACTAAACCAGGATTAAACCAGGTCTAAACCAGGACTAAACCAGGATTAAACCAGGTCTAAACCAGGATTAAACCAGGATTAAACCAGGACAGGTTAAACCAGGATTAAAACCAGGTAAACCAGGATTAAACCAGGATTAAACCAGGTCTAAACCAGGATTAAACCAGGATTAAACCAGGTCTAAACCAGGATTAAACCGGGTCTAAACCAGGACAAACCAGGATTAAACCAGGATTAAACCAGGTCTAAACCAGGACTTAACCAGGATTAAACCAGGTCTAAACCAGGACTGAACCAGGACTAAACCAGGACTGAACCAGGATTAAACCAGGACTAAAACAGGTCTAAACCAGGACTAAACCAGGACTAAACCAAGACTAAACCAGGAATAAACCAGGACTAAACCAGGACTGAACCAGGATTAAACCAAGACTAAACCAGGAATAAACCAGGACTAAACCAGGACTGAACCAGGATTAAACCAGGACTAAACCAGGACTGAACCAGGATTAAACCAAGACTAAACCAGGAATAAACCAGGACTAAACCAGGACTGAACCAAGACTAAACCAGGAATAAACCAGGACTAAACCAGGACTGAACCAGGATTAAACCAGGTCTAAACCAGGACTGAACCAGGATTTAACCAGGATTAAACGAGGTCTAAACCAGGATTAAACCAGGTCTAAACCAGGACAAACCAGGATTAACCCAGGTCTAAACCAGGACTGAACCAGGACTGAACCAGGTCTAAACCAGGATTAAACCAGGACTAAACCAAGACTAAACCAGGACTAAACCAGGTCTAAACCAGGACTAAACCAGGACTAAACCAGGTCTAAACCAGGACTAAACCAGGTCTAAACCAGGACTAAACGAGGACTAAACCAGGACTAAAACAAGTCTAAACCAGATCACAAAAAGTAGTGACAAAAACCTTGAACACATCATATTACAACAAAAATAAGTCTAACTCCGTCTGAATTAAATATGATCTAAACCCTCATATCTTTTTGTGTGTTTATATTCTTATTTTATATTTTTTGGAGTTATATTTTAATTTAATATTTTTTGAGTTATATTTTACCGTGTTTCTGTCTCTGCTCCACAGTTGAACTCGTCGTCAGAGCTGGTCTCGTTCTGTGAGGGCTTCTTCCTGCAGAACCTGCCGTGTCTCCTGGAGCGTGAGGACTTCCACCGTCTGCTGCTCGGAGGCTGCGGCCCGGACAAGACCTGCCCAGAGACGGGGCCTGGTCCCGGGGCAGAGCCGGACCGGGACCGGGGCCGAAGCTCCGGACTCCTCCTGGACCTGGAGACGGCGCTCAAAGACAGACTGGAGACGCTCTGCCCCTCGTGTCGGGACTAAACCTGAGACCAGACCTGAGTTTATTTATCAAAACTATTTAAATTATTTTATTTAAATGAACTGTAAGACCAGCACTGGACTAAACCAGGACTAAACTAGGACTAAACCAGGACTAAACCAGTCTAAATTAGGTCAAAACCAGGTTTAAACCAAGACAAAACCAGGTCTAAACCAGGTCTAAACTAGGACAAAAAAAGGACTAAACCAGGTCGAAACCAGGTCTAAAACCAGGACTAAAACCTGGACTAAACCAGGACTAAACCAGGACTAACAACCAGGTCTAAACCAGGACTAAACCAAACTAAACCAGGACAAAACCAGGTCTAAACCAGGACTAAACCAGGTTTAAACCAGACCAAAACCAGGTCTAAACCAGGTCTAAACCAGGTCTAAACCAGGACTAAACCAGGACTAAACCACTAAACTGGAAAAGTCTAAACCAGGTCTAAAACCACTAAACCAGGTTCAAACCTGGACTAAACCAGGTCTAAACAGGACTAAACCAGGCTACTAACCAGGACTAAACAGGTCTAAAATATGTCTGACCTTGGAACAAACTACGTCTAACCTCGGACTAACCCAGGACTAACCCAGGACTAAACCAGGACTAACCCAGGACTAACCCAGGACTAAACCAGGACTAAACCAGGACTAAACCAGGTCTAAACCAGGACTAAACCAGGTCTAAACCAGGATTAAACCAGGTCTAAACCAGGTCTAAACCAGGACTAAACCAAAACTAAACAAAACCAGGACTAAACCAACTAAACAGGACTAAATCAGCTCTAAACCAGACTAAACCAGGACTAAACCAGGACTAAACCAGGTCTAAACCAGCTCTAAACCAGGACTAACACTAAACCAGGACTAAACCAGTCTAAACCAGGACTAAACCAGACTAAACCAGGTCTAAACCAGGTCTAAACCAGGCTCTAAAAACCAGGACTAAACCAGGTCTAAACCAGGACTAAACCAGGACTAAACCAGGACTAAACCAGGACTAAACCAGGTCTAAACCAGGCTCAGGACTAAACCAGGTCTAAACCAGGACTAAACCAGGCTAACCAGGACTAAACCAGGTCTAAACCAGGTCTAAACCAGCTCTAAACCAGGACTAAACCAGGTCTAAACCAGACTAAACCTCTAAACCAGGACTAAACCAGGACTAAACCAGGACTAAACCAGGGTCTAAACCAGGACTAAACCAGGGACTAAACCAGGACTAAACCAGGCTCTAAACCACTAAACCAGGACTAAAACTAAACCAGACTAAACCAGGACTAAACCAGGACTAAACCAGGACTAAACCAGGACTAAACCAGGACTAAACCAGGACTAAACCACTAACCAGACTAACCAGGACTAAACCAGGACTAAACCAGACTAACTAAACCAGGACTAAACCAGGACTAAACCAGGACTAACCCAGGACTAAACCAGGAAACCAGGTCTAAACCAGGACTAACAACTAACCAGGACTAAACCAGGACTAAACCAGGACTAACACAGGATTGAACCAGTGATATGTTTGTTTTCTTTTTTAAGCATTATTTATATTTCCAGTTTATGGCTTTTTCCCTGTTTTTTGTGACAGAATTGTATTTTTAAATGCTGTTTGCTGAGTTTGTACTTTTACTTTTCTAAATAAAAACACATTTGTTAAAGTTTTCAGGTTTATTTTTAGCTTTAGCTCTGGTGTAGTTCACAGAAACACCACAAGAGGGAGAACGACGCTGCGTCCGCCCTGAGCTCCAGGTCCCACTGAAAACTGTTCAGAGAAGAAGAAGAAAGTGAAGAAGAAGAAGAAAACAAAAACGAAAGATTTAAATCAAAAATATACTAAACCAGGACTAAACCAGGTCTAAATTAGGTCAAAACCAGGACTAAACCAGGACTAAACCAGGACTAAACCAGGTCTAAATTAGGTCAAAACCAGGTTTAAACCAGGACTAAACCAGGTCGAAACCAGGACTAAACCAGGACTAAACCAGGACTAAAACCTGGACTAAACCAGGACTAAACCAGGACTAAACCAGGACTAAACCAGGTCTAAACCAGGACAAAAACCAGGTCCAAACCAGCACGAAAACCAGGTCTAAACCAGGTCTAAACCAGGACAAAACCAGGTCTAAACCAGGTCTAAACCAGGTCTAAACCAGGACAAAACCAGTTCTAAACTTGGACAAAACCAAGTCTAAACCAGAACAAAAAATACAAGTCTAAAACATTCCTGAATCCAGAACTCAGCAGGTCAAACCCTGGACTAAACCAGGTCTAAACCAGGACTAAACCAGGTCTAAACCAAGAACTAAACCAGGACTAAAACAGGTCTAAAATATGTCTGACCTTGGAACAAACTACGTCTAACCTCGGACTAACCCAGGACTAACCCAGGACTAAACCAGGACTAACCCAGGACTAACCCAGGACTAAACCAGGACTAAACCAGGTCTAAACCAGGACTAAACCAGGTCTAAACCAGGATTAAACCAGGTCTAAACCAGGTCTAAACCAGGACTAAACCAGAAGAACTAAACCAGGACTAAACCAGGACTAAACCAGGTCTAAACCAGGACTAAACCAGGACTAAATCAGCTCTAAACCAAGACTAAACCAGGTCTAAACCAGGACTAAACCAGGTCTAAACCAGGACTAAACCAGCTCTAAACCAGGACTAAACCAGGACTAAACCAGGACTAAACCAGCTCTAAACCAGGACTAAACCAGGTCTAAACCAGGACTAAACCAGGACTAAACCAGGACTAAACCAGGACTAAACCAGGACTAAAACCAGGACTAAACCAGGTCTAAACCAGGTCTAAACCAGGACTAAACCAGGACTAAACCAGACTCTAAACCAGGTCTAAACCAGGACTAAACCAGGTCTAAACCAGGTCTTCTAAACCAGGTCTAAACCAGGACTCTAAACCAGGACTAAACTAAACAGGACTAAACCAGGTAAAACTAAACCAGGACTAAACCAGGACTAAACAGGACTAAACCAGGACTTCTAAACCAGGTCTAAACCAGGACTAAACCAGGACTAAACCAGGACTAAACCAGGACTAAACCAGGACTAAACCAGGACTAAACCAGGAACTAAACCAGTCTAAACCAGGTCTAAACCAGGACTAAACCAGGACTAAACCAGGACTAAACCAGGACTAAACCAGGACTAAACCAGGACTAACCCAGGACTAAACCAGGACTAAACCAGGTCTAAACCAGGACTAAACCAGGACTAACCCAGGACTAACCCAGGACTAAACCAGGACTAACCCAGGACTAAACCAGGACTAACACAGGATTGAACCAGTGATATGTTTGTTTTCTTTTTTAAGCATTATTTATATTTCCAGTTTATGGCTTTTTCCCTGTTTTTTGTGACAGAATTGTATTTTTAAATGCTGTTTGCTGAGTTTGTACTTTTACTTTTCTAAATAAAAACACATTTGTTAAAGTTTTCAGGTTTATTTTTAGCTTTAGCTCTGGTGTAGTTCACAGAAACACCACAAGAGGGAGAACGACGCTGCGTCCGCCCTGAGCTCCAGGTCCCACTGAAAACTGTTCAGAGAAGAAGAAGAAAGTGAAGAAGAAGAAAACAAAAACGAAAGATTTAAATCAAAAATATACTAAACCAGGACTAAACCAGGTCTAAACCAGGTCTAAACCAGGACTAAACCAGGACTAAACCAGGTCTAAACCAGGACTAAACCAGGTCTAAACCAGGTCTAAACCAGGTCTAAACCAGGACTAAACCAGGTCTAAACCAGGTCTAAAACAGGTCTAAACCAGGACTAAACCAGGTCTAAACCAGGACTAAACCAGGACTAAACCAGGACTCTAAACCAGGTCTAAACCAGGACTAAACCAGACTAAACCAGGACTAAACCAGGACTAAACCAGTCTAAACCAGGACTAAAACCAGGTCTAAACCAGGACTAAACCAGGACTAAACCAGGTCTAAACCAGGACTAAACAGGCAGGACTAAACCAGGTCTAAACCAGGTCTAAACCAGGACTAAACCAGGACTAAAAGGTCAAGGTCTAAACCAGGACTAAACCAGGACTAAACCAGGTCTAAACCAGGTCTAAACCAGGACTAAACCAGGTCTAAACCAGGTCTAAAGCCAGGACTAAACCAGGTCTAAACCAGGACTAAACCAGGCCTAAACCAGGTCTAAAACCAGGAGGTCTAAACCAGGTCTAAACCAGGACTAAACCAGGACTAAACCAGGACTAAACCAGGTCTAAAACCAGGACTAAACCAGGACTAAACCAGGTCTAAACCAGGACTAAACCAAACCAGTCTAAACCAGGACTAAACCAGGACTAAACCAGGTCTAAACCAGGACTAAACCAGGGTCTAAACCAGGACTAAACCAGGACTAAACCAGGACTAAACCAGGACTAAACCAGGTCTAAACCAGGACTAAACAGGACTAAACCAGGACTAAACCAGGACTAAACCAGGACTAAACCAGGACTAAACCAGGTCTAAAACCAGGTCTAAAACCAGGACTAAACCAGGTCTAAACCAGGTCTAAACCAGGTCTAAACCAGGACTAAAGGTTAAACCAGGTCTAAACCAGGAGGTCTAAACCAGGACTAAACCAGGTCTAAAACCAGGTCTAAACCAGGACTAAACCAGGACTAAACCAGGACTAAACCAGGTCTAAACCAGACTAAACCAGGACTAAACCAGGTCTAAACCAGGACTAAACCAGGTCTAAACCAGGTCTAAACCAGTCTAAACCAGGACTAAACCAGGTCTAAACCAGGACTAAACCAGGTCTAAACCAGGTCTAAACCAGGTCTAAACCAGGACTAAACCAGGACTAAACCAGGAGGTCTAAACCAGGTCTAAACCAGGACTAAACCAGGACTAAACCAGGTCTAAACCAGGTCTAAACCAGGACTTAAACCAGGACTAAACCAGGTCTAAACCAGGACTCTAAACCAGGACAACCAGGTCTAAACCAGGACTAAACCAGGTGACTAAACCAGAGGTCTAAACCAGGACTAAACCAGGTAAACCAGGATCTAAAACCAGGTCTAAACAGGTCTAAACCAGGACTAAACCAGGTCTAAACCA